CAAAAATCAAAAAGCGTCACCTCTTATCTCACCAATTGGTTCGACATCTATCGATGGTAATTTATCCTGGAATACTGGTCTAATTTACGCACAAGCACAAAATCATGCTCGAAAATTAGCAGAAACACCAGCCAATCTTATGACACCAACTATATTTGCCGAAACTGTTGAATCTTTCTTAAAGGATTTACCAAACGTAAAAATTTTTGTTCATGAAAAAGAATGGGCAGTCCAAAAGAACATGGGATCTTTTCTATCAGTAGCTAAAGGTTCTGTTGAACCATTAAAGTTTTTGGAAATTCACTATAATGGTGGTGAAGATAGTCAAACACCTTTAGCGTTTGTAGGAAAAGGAATTACTTTTGATAGGTTAGTATTCTCATAATCATCATAAACAATTATTAGATATTTATTTTTTTGAGTCAGTTAAAACATTTTTTTTATATTCATAAAAAAACTAGTGGTGGTATTTCTATCAAGCCATCAGCTAAAATGGCGGAGATGAAAGGAGATATGGGTGGTGCGGCAGCTGTATCGTCTGCTATCTATGGTATAGCTAAACTTGGTTTACCGATAAATGTTGTTGTCTCTGTTCCATTGTGCGAAAATATGCCATCAGGAATTGCAACGAAACCCGGTGATGTTGTTAAGGCCATGAACGGCAAGTCAATTGAGGTATAAATTAACATTGTTATTTTCTTATTTTCACGATTATTTAATTTGTAACATATTCTTGATAAACTATTTTTAAGGTTGACAATACAGATGCTGAAGGACGTCTTATTTTAGCGGATGCGCTCTATTATACAAGCACCACTTACAAACCACACAGTTTGATAGACGTTGCTACCTTAACAGGAGCTATGGTAGTTGCTCTCGGAGAAATTTATTCAGGCGTGTTTACCAATTCGAATAAACTTTGGGAACAATTATTAGAAGCGGGAAAAATTGCAAATGACCCTTTTTGGCGTATGCCACTAGATGATAAATATAGCGAGTACATTAAGAAGTCAATTGTAGCAGATCTTGTGAATGTTGGGCCAAAGGGTTCAGGAGGTTCATGTGTAGCTGCCATTTTTTTGAAAGAATTTGTGA